TTTAATGGGCGACCCTGCCGCCCGGGAGAAGGCGTTAATCTTTCGGATCCTGTTAGTTAAATCTCGCCGCGGGTTTGGCTGCGCAGCGAGTGACAGCCGTGCCGGAGAGGAGAGTGTCCAAACTTGGGGCTGTCTCGCTTCTCCTGTTTTATTTGTTGTTTTACGGGGGCGAGGGGGAGTTGGACACCGTGGACTGCTTAATTATCCCGACCTGACGGCGTGGAGAGCAGGAGAAGGAAAACACGAGCAGCATCACCACCGTGTAGACGTGTCCACGCGTGTCCCTCGCGTGCGATATTGATCTTAATTTTTTCCACCTTCCCTTTGCCTGGCTTCCTTTTTGCAGCGCCGAGAGAGACGCACCGGCGGATCTGCGGCCGGGTTTGGAGGGGGGTCCGACGTGCCCCGGAGGGAGCGCTGGGATGCTCTGAGCCGGGCCGGCGCGCAGCGGGCTCCCTCGGCTGTCCCCCGGCGCCGGGGTGCGCACTGACAGAGAGAGCGGGGAGCGCTGGACGCCACGGAGTCAGCGCCGTGCTGAAATGAGATGAGGCTCAGGAATGGGACTGTGGCCACCGCGATCGTCTTCCTCACCTCTTTCCTCAGCTTGTCCTGGTACACGGCCTGGCAAAATGGGAAAGGTAAGGCCGGCGCTTCTGTCAGCTGGAGAGCTCTCGGCATTTCGGGTTGGCTGGGTCCCCTGCGCGTCGCCAGGAAACCACCCCCCGGTCTGACCGGCTCAGCGTGGTAGGCAGAAGGAGGTGCGGCCCAGCACCGTTTTCTCATCTAGGGGCTCCTCGCAGGCGCCGCTGCTATCCCAGGTGCTGTGGTAAAGGTGGCAAGACGCAGGCTGTGGTTTTCTGATCAATTAGGGGGTTTGAGAAACGCCAGCTGCTTGACGGCGCCGGGAGTCACGGGTAGCGACGTGTGTGACTTGCGGGCTGGTGTTTGCCCAGCGCCGGCTACCTACCCCAGCGCCTGCGGCCCCGGCGTCTGGGAATGACACCTGTTCGGACACGGGGCAGGACAAGGAGGGCCACCGACTACACGTAGTCTCTGCTGTATTCATAATAAAACAAACGCACACAACTTTTTTTGGGGGGTAGAATAGCAGGTGTTTGCGCATGTTTTCGGCTTATTAATAAGGACCGTTGCCGTTTTGAATGTTTAATTTCGGGGGGGGTGTGTGATTTCATGCAGGCGACTGTGCTCAGTCGCTGTGTGCCGCGACGACAAGTGCTTTTGGGTAAAACGATAGATCTCGCCCTCTCAAATTCCCTTCCTTTATCGGGAAAAATGGGTCATTCCTGGGGGGGTCACGGCTGGCCGGGAAGTGAATGAGGAATCTGGTTTGAGGACGCGGTGAATACGGGCTGCTCGGGTTTAGGGAAATGGACTTTGCGGGTCTGATTCGTCGTTGAAGGAGCACTGACGTGTTTTATTCACTGGGGGCTCAGAAACGGAGCAGGTCGTCGTGGAACACCTGCCGGCCGAGCCGAGCTTCTTTTCGGTACAGGGCGCAGTTGAAAGTAGGATGAGACTTGGTGTAGGAAAATAAAAAGCTAGGCTTCAAGAGTCGGTTGGGGGATAGCCGAATAGCTAAATGATCAAATTCCACATCTGAACATGTCTCGGCCGTTTTCGCACCGAAAAACGGCTACAGTATGTGGTGCAGCCAGTTTCATTACTTGATAAAACGATCAAGTTTGATGAGTGGCCCTTCTGCTTATATTTTTAGAAGCTCTCAACGGCCTTTTAAGCTCAGTGAAATAATTTAGCTGTATGTGATCTAAACCTCCTACGATGCGTTCTTTTAGTCTTGAAAGCAGTAGTAATTAAGAGGCTTCAATAAAAATGGGGAATGATTTGTGCTATGAAGCCTTAACTTCCTGTTGTCTGAGTAGATTGAGGTTTGAAGCCTTTGCTGGTATAACTGCCACGGTCTAGCTTCAGTATTGTTTACAAGTGGCATCACCTTTTGGAAGGTGCTTTTTGGAGCTGCTGTGTAAGAAGTAGTTGCAGGAAGGACAGTAACTGTTTTATACTTCGAGGGTTGAGACAAACTGCAGTCCAGCTGTGAGCCATGACTACACTCAGGATGAGACACACACTTATTGGCTTTCACTTGAACACGGGAGGCAAGTCAGAGATGCCAGCTTACCCAGACAGCAGCATGCCTGTGGAAGATGCGGAAGGAGCTGTAGCCGCAGGAGAAAACCCACATGGACATTTAAAGGACCTGCAGCCTCCATATAGACCATATATAGAAGGTGTCCCAGAATCTAACTGAGGACGCGAGAGCTGTGAGGCAGCA